AGCAGTGCCCAACTGTCAGGAATGAGAAAGGCAATCGCGATGTGGCGTGAACAAATTTTTGGTCCCGATTGTGCGTGCATAAGACAGCTATGACGGTCATCGAGGCTCATATTGCTGTCTTGTGTGAACGCAGGCATCCTCGTTTCAGACATCCCCACCACCCTCATAGATCGGCCAACAGGTGTGGGCATGGGGTAACAGGAAAAACAAGCCCCTCAACAGCTGATATTATTCGACGTGCATGAAGCCAATCTGTAATAATAACGCCTATAAGTACGTCACTGAAGTGCATGTCGCATAGCAGAATTAAGAGAGGTGCAAATCTGCAAAAGTACTAGAATTGTCGCCTCAGAATATGTGCTTGGCTCCAAGCTGAAGACTCTGTCATTGCAATCAATACTGCATGAGTATATCTCAATGGAAAAATGGTAGCAAAATTAGCCTTAGTATATGGGCGCAAGTCAAACTAGAGATTGATTTAATTCCACATTTTGAAACAATCGATACGCTAAGTTAAATCAATAATCAGATTGACGCCAAGGTTTTCAGTATTGGGCCATGAATGTACACATCTCAGTGCGCCTTAATGCAATGGTGGCATAACGACATGGCAATGCGCAAATACTGCAATGTACCTCACCCTATCTCCCCACGCTCGGAGGACTCTTGCAAACGACCGCTGAATTCTGTGAGCCTCTGCCAAGTGTCGCATGTTGGCTTTGCGCCTTTGCTCAGCATAAAAATTGCGCCAACCCTGAAAGCCGAAATTCATGACTCGATGTTGGTGCTGCTTCTCGGCAGCCACAAGTTTCAAGGACTTGAGGATGCAGTGTTCAGTGGCCGTTCTCCAGCCCCGCAGACACCGTGTCCTGTAGCCACGAGCCTTTCAGTTCATCATTTCGCCATATGCACCGTCAGAAATGTTCCAGCGCTGTTGCAGCTGTTAATCGGATTAACATGGATTGTGTACGCAACTGGGTGCCACGCCATCGTCCCGTGAATGGAATTCCTACCATATCCGCAAAACCGCTCGCCTCCAACCCTAAATGATGCAAGTGCTGTACGCCTGAAGAAAAGTAAAACAGGGAAAGGAAACTGCTCCTCTCTGTCACGGAGAGGCCCCCCACTGTGACGCACAAAGATCTGTGGGAATGCGCCAGGCTCATGGCAGGCTATTTCCTGTTGAAAGTTGCTGGGCGGTAGTTTACAAATGCGCCATGCAGTGGTGGTGGCACTGTGCCGCACACCTCGTGTAGGAGGCAGCATGACTCCTGGCCTTTTCGTGAAGCTGACCCTTGCCCTTTCGATAGCTGGTGTAGAACTCCCATGTCCCGAATGCTGCGCCAGTGAGGACCACCTGACAGTTCGTACACTGTGAATTCACCGATCGCAGTTGTCAAATAGGTCTGTGCACTCAAATCCATGACGATGCCCAGAACCTGAGCGATGATGGGCCACAACACGTCCTCGGTGGAATGTAGGCGCACGCGCAGGACCCTGTGCTTCAGGTGTGCACAGGCACCCGGAATGGCGCCTGGCCTCTTATGTGCCCACGAGCAGCCAACCCCCTTTTGGGAGAACTTATTGCAACACGAAAGCTGGCTTCCAGCACTGCCGAACGCGTCAGGTTGTGCATGCTGCAACGGGTTGGTGCGGTCTGAGGACGCACTGCGTGCCAATCGCACATTGTGGCTGCATCATACCTGCCGCCAGTGTCCAGCTTGCTGCACCTGAATGACTTCTGCGGCTTCTTGCCATCCCTCCCAAGCCCACACCAGCAAGCACCGCTGGCCGATGATCCGAAACCGCTCGGCGAGCACGAGAAGTCGCTTCCCCCTTACCATCCATGATTGCCACCTGCCAGATGAGACAACGGGCGTCGAGGCGGAACAAGCGTGCTGGTGTGTTTTCTATGCCCGGGCGCTGGAACGCACCCAGCTCGGATGGAACCGGCATGGACTTATGGACTTGTGGTCCTGTCGCACCTGTACAAACACGCCCGCTGGAGCCACGCGTGCCGGTGCTCCACCGACAGGGCGGCCAGAATGCGGAGGTCGCGCCGCCTCTGGGCCGCCCACAGCCACTGCCGCAGGACTTCCGCCATCCAGCTCGATTGCAGGGCGTCCCTCACCTGCCCCAGTCTCTCCACGCCTTCCGAACGCCGAACGGTCAACCATTCAATACCCCGGCGCCATGTGCCGAACAGTTGTGGCACGGACCTGGCCGACCAGAAGGCGTCCGCGCGAGCCGAGAGCTCGATCTTCCGCGCCCTGCCCTCGCAGCGTGCCAGCCATGCGTCCAGTGCCCTCCGCGCGTTGGCCAGGTACCAATGCCGGACGGCACGACAGATGCCCTCCCGCTTCTGGCGGCCCCGCAGCACGGCGCGGCGCCAGGCGCCCACGCAGGCGGCCAGGACGGAGAACGACCTGTAGTACTGCGCGCGGACCATGCGCTCCCTGTGGTGCCTTTTGTAAATAGCCCATTCCCGCCATGCGCCCAGCGTTCTTGCCATCGCCGCAGTGCGACGCCACCCAAGGGCGGCGTGCAGCCTCCGGACCCTATCCGCGGCGGAGCGCCACTCGCGCAGGCACCTCTCCAGCAGGAAGAACAGCCGTCTGTGGTCCTGCGCGAGCGCGCAGCGCCATTCGAGCTTCCTCCTGGCAAGATTGCCCCTCAGCGCGGCAAAGCACCCGGCGGCCGTCGTCCTCTTGTGGTGCCGGACGGCCTTCAGTCGCCCCCGCGCGAACCATTTCCACTGCTCCACGACGATCCCCGCGACGCGCTTGCGGTGCCTACGGCGCTCGCGGCGCCAATTGGCATCTCTGGACGGGTCCCGGGGGCCCGCTGGGGATGGCTGGGGCCACCGTCCAAGGGGCCAACCGTCGGGGCCATGTGGGCAGGGTGGCATCGGGCATCAGGCAGCGGCGGCGGCGCCAAAGAAAGGGCCCCGCAGAGGGTCGGGCGCGCGCCCGCGTTTGTGGCCGAGGCCGGGGTCGCTCAGGGCCTTGTCGAATAGCTGGCGGCCTTTGGCAGCGGGCACCAGATACTGCCAAGCTGGACAAGGGGGACAGAAGTGCTGGCGCGGGGTGGATTGGTACTGAAGGGCGGGACTGCCCTCTTCGTTGCCCATGGCCAGGTAGTTTGATACAGCGGTGGGACATCCCACCAGAAGACCCGGATCGATCCCGGGTTCGGACATCTGCTTCACCGTCCCCACTGAAACAGTTGGAACAAGAGGGCAAATGTGGAAGAAAGTTGACGTGGGATGGAGGACTTGTGGCGAAATGACTGCGCAAGGCAACCCTTCGATGCAGTGACGACGAATCCAGACTGCAGATCCCAACCCGCGTTGCATGCAACAACTAGCCCCGTTCATGGGCGGCCACATCCAAGTGCAATTCATTGTGCTATAATGAGCTGGAGTGCCACCGCCCAACAGAGGATAAGGTAGGGAGCATCTGGAAGCAGCAGTTGAAAAAAAGCCCTGAAGTGCAGTGGGCCACCACACACATGGAGACCACGACCCGTGAGTCATACTCACTTTGTGCACAGGCTGCAAGTGTGTTGGGCGGGTGGGTTGGAGTCGCTTGCACAGAGTGTAATGTACGGCCTGCACTGCGGCAGTGTGCAACAGGCAAATTCCCAAGGTCCGTTGTTCCACAACACCATTTCATTACTGCACTGCTATCCGACATGTGTTGATGCTACTCGCTTTCGGGTATCATATGGTGATCCAAAGTGGCTGAACAACATTCAAGTCACCCATCACCACTTAAGAGCACGACTCTATGCCTGCAATGCGCACGCATCAGTGCAGCATTCAAGAACATGATTGGACGATGTGGGATGATACCTCAGCAATATTGTCACGCTTACTGTCAAACTCTTGGATTTGTTGGACCAACTCCAGGGTTGAGCCTGCAGCTGCCACCCGCAGATGGAGGCCAAAAAATTGCACCCCAGCATCCCCACAGCCAATCTAATGGCTGCAACACTCGCACGAGTTGGATTAGTCATTGATTTCGTGGATGAACATCCGAAGAACCTGGGATCCCAAATGGCGATTGTGCACACAACCATGGACCTTGGCCCAGAATTCTGATCTGTCCCCTTGTAAACACAAATTCTGATGTGGCATCGACACTTAGACTGAGGGCAAGAGAGTTGGAACGGGGAGGGTGACTGCGCTTAACACAGATTGACGTTCGGTGTGACGATAATGCTGAGCATACTCTCTTGCAGCCCACTTCATCGTTTGATTCGTCAGCGGGAGTCTGCAGCACCTATCATGATCTGTCATATGCGATTGCATAATGGGACATACGCAGCATGCAGAGACGAGCATTGGCACATTCTAGGTGCTGCGCTTGTAGCCATTGGCAGCATCGATGCCATAGTGCAGTCAACAACATTCTCAAATGTTCCCGCTTTCTTGGGAGGATTGTCCGAAACTTGTCATTCTGGACGTGAAGATCATGAAGAATACAAGGGCCCTAAAAACGTAAAAATATCCAAAACTCCAAAACCCAAAAGATCTTCAAGACCTCCATTAACTTCATGAACTTCATGACCTTCAATAGTCCCATGGCATTCATGACCTTCATGACCCAGGTCCGGAAATGAAGAGTATCAGACATCTGTGTGTTTTGGTTCCTGGAGGGTAACGTCCACATTAAAAAACAATATTGCAGCCAAGAACCTTGTAGTCAAGAATCCTGCAACTAGCTGCTGGGGTTCTTGCCAGAATATGTATGCAGCAACGTCACTGCTTGGTGACAAAGGGACATGCAAAACGCAGTCACAACACAGCTCACACAAAATCCAGCTCAATGCATGAAACTTGGGCCGATTCCCAATTCTTGAATGCAAAGCACAACAATACAACCTCCAGCAACAACAATTTTCAATCATTCAATGCCCATATGCGCTGCAGACCTTGTGTTTCCCTAGTAACACAACAATCCCACCAACATCATGGGCCTTGCCCTCTGAGACCCTACCTATTCGGGGCAAGAAGAGCTAGGATCACTACCGGGGGCTGCATCCTGCTGTACATTTGGGTGTGGCACGTTGGTGGCCATTCCATGGCCAGATGACTGCACTGGAACCCCAATAGCAGATGCACCCATGGCAAAAGGATGATTCACAGGCACACCTTCTGCAACAGCAGAGCCATGATACCATTGCCAGGGCAGCGGGACACCCATCTCAAGTGGAAAATGCGGAGTGTGGGCTGAGACATTTGGAAGAGACATTACAGGCAGGGGAGCAGTTGTTGATGCAAGGTGGGCACTGGGCAGGGACATGCTCCAATGCACCTGTCCACCCACAGGCAATGCTGAAACTGGTACTTCGCACCCAGCACCATTGACTACTTCAGAGCCCACTGTTCTTTCACCTGCCAGCAACTCAGGGACCCCTGTGGTACCCAATATTCCCATTGCATGCAATGGGGGCCCTTCACTGCCGATGGTACTGACAATCGAACCCGGTGGCTGCAGAACTCCTGACGGCCCAGCAAGCACCAGGGAACCTGCAGGGTGTCGGGCGGTGGCGAAACTGCCCCCCTCCAGAGGTCTGTTGGACTCAGGGGACACCTGCAAGAGGGGAGCATCCCCCACAGGCAGGGGTGGCACACCAGATGCAGTGGGTGCAGGATCTATACACGTTCCTGAGGTTCTACTTGCTGCTGTGTTCAACGTGTCGCCTTGTGTGACACTTTGACAGCCTGCCACACCTGCAGGCTGCTCCGTGACCACGCCTGCCAGGGTATGCTCCATCTGCAAAGTTGCCAGCATGGATGGTCCCACCAACTGTGGACCACTGCTCAGGTGCTCAGGAACAGGAACTGTACGATCAGCAGGTTGCCTTGCAGTCTGTGGCGCAGTGTTCACTGCCAGCGGAGTAGGCAAAGCATGAAGCATGACACCTGCTGAAGGTGTCCCTTGCACAGCACTCCTCATGGGCTTGGTGCTGGCCAGTGGTGTCAGCGATGGCAGAGCGCCTGATAGTCCAGGCACCAGAATCTCAGGGGGCCCCATTGGAATCAACACAGCCCCACTCACAGGAAGGGGCTGTATGCCGCTCACAGCGACCACAGGCACATTCTGGCCAGGCGTAACCAGTGGGCCAGCGATCTGTGCCCCACCTTGGCCTGCAATCCACACACACCAGATCTTTGTCAGACGTGGGTGATAAACATTTTCGTATTCCATGGGGTGCTTGTGTGTGCTACACACAATCCAGCGAACACGATGAGGAGTGCCCATGCTGGGCCCATCCAGGTAGGTTTTAACTTGTAGCCAAACCCAGCGAAAGCTGCCTCTATGAAAAGCCATGCAAGATGTGCAAAATGCAAGATCTCTGGTGAATGGGTCCACTCAGTTACCGCTATGTCACTGCAAACACGCTTTTCAATTTCAGTGTTTATAACTGGACACGATGAGGCTTGTGAGTTGTTATTGTGCGGTCTTGTAAACAGTCCCCAGTAGTAAAACATTGAGCAAGAGAGGGCCTGAGTGCCATGTCTCTCTCTTTCAACAATCCTCCATCAATATACCATCAACCACAGCACAATATCAGTTGCAGGGATTCCTTCCACAACCACTGATGCAGTTGTCCAGTTGCATGCCTAAGTTTCACAGGCCCGGTAGTTAATGCCAGCAGCCACACTAGCAACGGCCAAAATCTGGAGCACAGTAATGGCATATCTTACATGTCATGCATGTAAGCAGGACTCGAAGCCAAATCTGTCCAACTCTGAAGCCAAACCTGCCCAACTCTGCAGTCAATCATAATCACTGTGGTTAGGAGGTGATAGCCAGTTGCCATACCTTGCGTCCACCTCATTTCTGCGTGTCGTTTCAGTTGCTCCCACAACAGCTCTTTTGACATGTCCAGCCGCAGGTTTGTCACACCGTAATATCGTGCCAAGACTTGCCTCAGAGTCGACTTGGTCCAATTCGGGCGAGTACTAGCTGACAGTGCGTCTTGGATGCAGCTGTGATCAATTGCAGAGACCTCCGGTGATGCGCTAATCATGTCTTGGTGTTGCCTCTTAGGGGATGGCTCTTCTGTGGTTTCATCATCTACGCAAGTGCCTGTCAAAAGTAAAGTAGGAAGGTAACCAGGACATCATGACACAACTGCAATGCAACCTGTAGGTGTGGATGCCAATACCTCATCAATATCCCAAACTACCCAGTGCAGTGCCAGCAATTCACCAAGCCAGGTGCATTTCTGTGCCTCATGCGTTCTCAACGTGCAATGCCAAGCACAAGTGGTAGAGCGAAATATTCCCATCCTGAATGCGCCCGAAGGGATCCCACTCACCTGCTGCGTTGGGGCTTCCTGTAGCCTGTGCTTCATGACCTCCAGCAGATGGCAATTCTGCCACAGCCATGTACGGCTGCACAACAACACCGCTCCCTTGCATCTGATTCACGCAGTACTGCATCACCATGTCCAGTCCAAACTTCTCACAAACACGACTCAGACGCTCCTGTGTGCGCTTTCGAGCATTACATATCCGCTTTTGCTCCCTCCGCTGCTCAATGAACTTCTGCTCCACACCTTAGCAGCAAACTGCACAAGTTAGTACATTGCGGGGCACTTGTGGCGGGGCAGGTGATAGACCTGCAAAACTGGCATAGGAATCAAACAGTGCGGCCATGTATGTACAAAATGCTGTTCGCACTGCATACGATGACAAGGATACAATCCTACCAACAAACCCCAATTTCCTTGTTTTATATCCACCAAAGACAATGTCAAGGGACCACGCAAACCATGAGCTTGCCAGGCATCAGCATTCTGTGCTTGCATTTGAGAAAAGAGCACGGAGACTGACAAAGACACTATCAACCACCTGCGACAAATGTGTGATGAAAGAGGAACTACAATCTGCGAACAGCAGCCGGGCAGTCCATGTTGGGTACCATTTAGCAACCCCTATTCAGGCTTTTATGGATTCCGATGAATGAAAGAAGATCTGCTGAATCACTGCGCAAGCACATGCCAAGCAATTCTGATTTGTGGTTGCAAGGAAATGTTTTTAAGCACGAAAAATATATCACATTGGAGAACCCCTCCTAGAAGGAATGCATTCTGCCATATTCCACTCTGTAGCATTAATGGAGCCACTGACAACATGAAATCAAAGCCAGACTCTTGCGCTGAAGCAACAGATATGTATTTTGTAGGTGTACGCATGAAAAAAGAAATTCGTCTCCATTGTCAGTTTCACAGCAGCGGATTGTCATAACTGCATGGCATCTGATCAAGTCATCCGGCCATCTGTTCACACAAGAAAATGAGAGAATACCCTGAACATGTAGTGCTTTGCCAATGGAAAACAGAGCAGCAGCCCATATGGCATCAACAGAAAACCATGGAAACTGAAAATAAAAGGAAAGGTCCCCAGTCCCCAGGACCTAATGCACCAGGCTGCTGCCAAAAGACAGCTTCAATGAAATTGATTGTGCATGTGAATAGCAAGCAGGCATTCTGAGGGGTGACTAGGAATGGTTGGCCTGGGGCATTGAAGTGGGGCAGCAGACTGTGGACTTGTCTTAACAACATCGGTGGTGCATGCACCTGCCTGGACCTTGAAGCTGTCCGGGTCCTGTTCCCCCCGTATTAGGCACTCATCGCAACACTGGTGCCACTGGCTTTTGACACGAACGCTGCCATCCTTTGTTTTCGTTGTGAGTTGTCTGTTGTGCAATACCGCCCTGTCCCTTTGCAGGCACCTAGTGGCAATCAGGCAAGAGATCAGTCGACCATCTCCTTGGTAATGCCCCACAGTTCACCAACCTTCCTGGCATTAAGCAGATAGCTGCCCCACGGCACCAAATCCAACAGCTGCATGTTTGCTACACCATCATCAGCTTACACATCTTGTTGGGGCAGTTGTGATGATATATTCACAGTTTGCCGATACTATTCTGAGCTTCTTGATCGGTGTTTGCAATGGTGAGCTGCCCGAAATGGGGCTATTTTGCTCAACGAGGGTGTTGCAATGGTCCCTGGAGCTTTGGATCAAAACACAATTGAACAAGAAGTGAATTGTGCAGACTAGGGGAAGACTGTGGGCCCCACGGGGTCACGGGTTGCCAGGTTTCTCCTTTCCTCTTGCCAGTTTCTTCTCTGCTGCACCAGTGCACCCTGCTGCCGATCACCCTTTCCACACCTTTTGTCAGGAAATAGGTAGCACTCTGTCCCCTCTTCGAGCCCTTTCAGCACACCCCTGGATTTTGCCTTTGTTTGCAGGTCGTGCAACAACTGAACTACGGATTTGTGATGATGAAAAGGCCGAACATGCACTGGTTGGACGTTGCTGCGCCCATCAACGCCATTCAGGTGCAAGGGTTTTCGTTTGTCGCGAGAAACGAAACCCAATCCATGGAATCAAGCTTCTGCTGCATCCCGGAAAAGGGTAATCACGCTGACCAGTCGCCTAGATACTCCCCGTTGTCTCATTCGGTGCATTTCTGAACAGCCAAAGTCCGAAGGAACGAGCCAACCCCAGAGTCACATCTGCTGGCTCGCACCCTGGATGAAAGGACCGCCGGCCTCCCTCCGCGCTGGCGGACTCGCAGAACTTGAGGGAGTCCCGGAGGCCCTTGTCCGTGAGGATCGGGTCCATCGTGACGACGGAGCCGTCCGCGGCCGTCACAATCGCCGCGTGAACCCGCCGCACCCAGGACACGCCAAAGCACTCCTTGAGGCCGGCGCCGTCTTGGCAGGCGGGCGGCTCGTGCGCCAGCTTGCCGCACACGTAGCAGGCCGGGACATACATTGCCATCCCCCACACATGCGACTGGGCCGATGGATCCGAAAAGGGTGGAGCCGCCCTGCGCACGGCCACGGCCCACCATCTCAATCCGCGGACAGCGTGCGCCCGCCGGAAAGTCGCGAGTCGGGGATGCAGGTCCGGAGCGCGGGGCTGGTTGGGCCGAAGCAGAGCGCGGCGCTGACGACTGTGGGCCCCACCTCGCCGTCCCGCCAGCGTTTCGGCACCAGGGTGGTCTTCTGCTGTCCCGTAGACGAGCCACTCCGTAGACCCACTAGGAACAAATGTCCCCCTTTGGGCCCAAAGTGGGACATTTGTTCTCGCTTTTTTTGAGGCTCTGAATCAAGAAAGGAAAAGAAATACGGCGTACAAATTCTGTACTTGTGCCACAGAAGGCGAGTTTCTGGCATTCCGTTAGACGGTTGGCCCAAAGGGTCAGGCCGGGTTGAGCGAGGGGCCGGAGTGTTGGTGAGAAGGAGAAGAGGGGCCTGAAGAACGGGAGCATGCAACGCGACGATTGTCGCAGAGGCGCGGATGGGTCAGGTGGCGATGCGAGGCCGTGCGCTGACGAGGACGGCGGCAGCCACGGCGCTGGACCCGACCTTGTGCTTGGCGGAGGCGATTTCAGACTCGACTACGACTGCGCCCAAGACCTGTACGACCACCAGGTCGAGGGCATTAAGTGGATGTGGGGACTGTACGAGAGACGCCAGGGCGGGATTCTGGCGGACGATATGGGGTGAGATGGGCCTTCGCTGCCGTTTGTGGGCGCAAGACAGCCTGTCGTCATCACTGTGGTCATTCACGACATACGTTTGCCGTGCAGCCTCGGGAAGACGCGGCTGTGCACATCGTTTTTGAGGGGCCTATTCATCGGCCAGCGCACCAGGTATGCCAACCACTTGGCCTATTTCACGTGCTTGAACACACATTTGCGAGGGTGTCCTCTGCTGAGTTTGAGCTGATTCGCTGCATCATTGCAACACAGGCGGAAACCGTGCCCCTGCAGTTTGTTGGCGATTGCTGCGAATAAACAGGAGCTGATCAGCAGCCGACATTTTTGCACAATGATTGTGTTTGAGGTGCTGGGTAAAGCCACAGCCCCTCCCAACATCTGCCCAAAAGAAAGCGCAGCGGTTTAAGGACTCCCAAGTGCAAAGCAACAGGCAGCCCTGTTTTTAAATCAGAAACTGACTGCATCTTTGCACTTCACCATGCGCATCGTTGCGCCGCCTGAACTTTGTCAAGGCGTGGGAGCTTTCCATGTAAAGCTCCCATTCCCCGGCACATTTGATCGCCCATTCACAGCTGATTTGATGTCATAAATTGTGCAATCTCTTGCAGAGTACAATCAATTTGTGCTCAGATTTTGTTCATGTTATTTAGTTGAGAGCGTGAGAACCACTGGTGTGCTCCAAACTAAAGGGAGCACACATTACATAGTCTACATCCGTTGCTCTCGCTCCTTGTGTATAGAATCTCACAATTTCTGTAGTTGTATGAAATGTCCTTGTAGCAAACTGTGGCACCGGAGAACTCTTTATTGTCGATTTGTGATGTCAAAAGTGGGTGTATTGAAAACAACAACATCCAAGCACGGCCACAGCCGATTCACAGCAGTTGTAGCCACCGCGTTGCGTTCTAAGTAGTTGTTGGAAATACCACAGGAAATTGATGGAAATATGAGGATTCGCTTGATACTTTGATTTGAGGAATTTCACGTTCAAGTCAGGGAAAAGAAACAGCATAGATCTTCCCAAATTGGACTGCTATGCCTCGCACTGGAATGTCGGGACAGTGGGCTGTTCACCACAACAGGAAAGAGACCATCGTATGCCGAAAGGATGCAAGACTCCAGACTTCTTCGGTTGAAAATGAGGGCACACACCAACAAATTCATGGGCACAACCATCCAAGTTGGGAGGATAGGGTGGTGGCCCAGACTATTTGCACCCATCCCCGATGGGAATTCTTGAAGAATTGCCACGATGTGGATTTTGTCACAAGAGACGTACTGCATTGCATTGAGTGATGGCCTCCCCCCCTTTCTCTATTCTGTTTTGAGGGACCGTCAGGATTCGCAGCAGTGCACCATGGTGGTCAAGCCATTGATTCCATGGGTGATTTCAGACCATCAACCAACGCCAAGTCTCAGATGTCAGCATACACTTCTTGAATTCGTAAACAAGGATTGAATCTTTGACCTCTGCACCTGACCCATGTTTGGCTTGAAAACAATGAGGATGCCGGATTGGCCTTTGTTAATATAAGGCGCAGGTACCATTTAGACAGGAACAATACCCTAAAGCTGGTACTTGGAATGACTGCTGTTTTGCTGCAGGACTGAGCAAGATTTTTTGCATCAAGCACTGGTGCTCAGTTTGGCAATTGTCTGGTTCGACTGTTGCACTGTTGTACCGGTAGTGTCTGATGAGCTGTGTTGAGGGGGCTGCCACGCATCAAGCATGATACAGTCCTGGGCAAGCTACATTACATTGTGTGCTCAGCTTGCGTTTAAGGTGTCTGTAGTGGCTGTGGATTGCTATTTGGATATGGCTACACACGTTCCCCCTGCCCACCCTGTGTTGTACCTGATGCAGCTGTCCAATGTCTCCCAGGCGTGTATTGATTATTGTGCCCAAATCATTGTTGAGCCGCTGGGAAGAAGAGGTCATGCACTGTGACCTGCAGAGGAGACTCTTCTTCTTCCAAGGCTCGGACAGGTGTGTCAAAGCCTGGCTCACGACATTGCTTCTCCAGGAATACTTGTACACCAGCACTCCCAGTCAAATCCATCTTGCCACATTTCAACCTTCATGGTTGCCACACGTGTCCTGTATTTTCAGATTTGGTGTCAGAGCTTCCAAGGCATTTCTCACATTGCATTGCCAAACACATAATGGGTTAATTGTTTGAGGGGCTCTTGTTGATTAACTGCATCCGAGTTGATGCTGCAGCTGCTGCTGCATCAGATTCTGTTTAGCGTCTGCTCACTGTATGCCAAGGGCCATTGTGCGAATTGTAGGGAGTTTAGTCTTCGGAGGGTTGCTCGGCATGGTGGCCTTCTCTTGGTTACATATGACATGGCTCGTCATAATGTGGGAAGCCTTGTCAATCCGCCTCAGCATTGTGTGGAGCTAGCAGATGAGCAGTGTTTCTGGGATGTTGTGATGATGGACGAGGTGGGTGTGGAGTTCTTTTGGGTTATATTTGATTGTGTGGTTGCTGGCTATGCAGTCACTCTCGGCTGCAACAGCAGATCAGAAAGTCAGCTAGAAAATCAGTGGACTGTTAGTAGCCAGCTGTTAGCGGTCAGTTTACATAGTATACATCTAAGACCCAACAGTAACTGTGTTTGACAGGCCCACAAAGTAAAGAATCCACGGACAGAGACATATCTGAAACTGCGGAGTATCCCAGCAGGTGTAAGGTATGAGCTGAAAAGTGTGTGTATGCAGAATGGGTCGATGTTAATTCAACTGCCTTGCACAGAGCTCTCATCCAATGTGCGACGTGCTTTTCTGCTTGTCAATTTGCTGCTGCTCAACAGGTGCGGCCTTGTCTGTTTTCAGGTTCTTGGTGTCAGGCACACCCATACAGAACAACTTGATGGAGTTTCATGCACTCATGGACCTGTGCTGCGAGGTAGTGCTCTTTTGGCATGTTCTTTTGTATGCAAAACCTGAAGCACGACTTGGTCAGGTGGTACTCAAGAACCCTGAATTGACATAGGTTTATTGGTGTGTATTCACATGCTCACTCTCCTTCCTGTGTGTGACAATGTACCACAATGCAAGAAGTGTCATGATTTTTTTAGGATGATTCAGTTGCGATCTTGCCAGCAATGACAGTAGAATAGATGTTGAATCTGCTGGTTGAATTTGAATCGATGCGACACCTGGCCAACTCAGTGTGCTCACATTCACATGTGTTAAAACTTTGTGCTGGCCTGGTTCTTCGCGATCCCCATGTGGGTCCCTCTCTAACCCAGAAGTCCTCAACCTCTTGATCTGGAACACACAACCACTGTTTGCTACCTGCCAACCAGTGGCTTTCCCCAGTGTCAAAGTGTGGCAAAACGGTCAGGAACAGTGCATGCCACTGCTGACAATAACTTGTGGGGATTGCTCAGTGTTGGTTGCCCTAGTGATGTCTTGATGTGCTAGGGTCTTCTTGGCGACCGTGCTGGGTTCAAGAATCTCTACGAAAAGCCCATCACACTTGGGCTGGACAGGAATGCAAGTGAACAACAGAGAGCATCCAGTGCAAGGCTGGCCAAGCAGCTGAGGGACAAATACTCACCATACTTTCTGCGAAGGGAGAAGAATGCTGTTGCAATTCAGAAAACCTACCTGTAAGTCACTGAGCTTTTCAGACCGCATGTGTTTCCATCAGTAACATATGCTGGCCATAACATATGAATGTGTCATCGTGTCATCGTTGAATCATCTGCTGCCTTCAGCAATGAAGGGCTGCCTGGTTGTCTGTGGCTTCTTGGTGCCACAACAGATGTTAGTGTGCGGCTTGATGGTGTTCTCGCTTGCTCCAGCACACATCAAGCCATGGCAATGCAGGGATGCTCTCTTTTTGTATAGGGGCCAGACGGCTGCAGCTACCCAGAAAACAGCAGTTGATGAGACTAGTGAGCGACTGGGTAGCAAGAATGACCTCATTGTGTGGCTGAAGCTGCAGCCGATGCAAAGGAAAATATATGAGGTATGGCATATGATGTCATGGGCTATTTGTTTGTATGCTGTGTGAACAACTGTCATCAATGACGTGTGAAGTATTCCTATCTGGGCATGGACACCATTGCATTGGCTACACTCTTGAGGGCTTTGTGCCTTGGATGTTCACTGCAAAGATAATCAGGCATCCCAAACCTCCACTCTCACATTAAGCCTTGAGATGTTTAAGCCATGCGCACAAGAAGATGATGTCTGCTCTGTTTCGTTTTCTTGCTTACTTGCAATAACAGCAGCTTTGTGCTTACAGCTATTCTTGCAATCGGATGCTGTGAAACGGGCATTGAACAAAACTGCTTCCCCGCTGAGCGCCATAGATGTTCTCAGGAAGATCTGTCTGCATTTCTCCCTTCTGTCCAAACGAGCTGCTGAGGTTGTCATTCATGGCAAACAATTCTACAAAGACATCTGGGACGACTCAGATGAGGAGCAAGACGAGGAAGGGGATGCAAGCGAAACTGAAGAAGACGCAGAATGCTGTCCCTCTGTCTGTGATGGGTGGGAAAACGATGATATCATTTGTGTGGACACCTGCGGTGGTGACTTTTGCTCACTCTGGATGTGCTTTCACGAACAGGGCCTTGCATCTTTTGGGTGATGATGAGCACATACAGACACAAAATGCATGCTTGTTTGTCCCCCATTCCTTCATGTCTTGCCTTGTCACTGGTTTGCGGCTGTGGCAGATGTGACTGTTCATGGGCAACCAGTTGAGGATCCTGAGTCAAAGTTCGCTGGTTATGATCGCCCCTTTTTATTGTGATACTTGGCTTGCACAGGGGTCCTCTGGGGTCTGTGGACCTAGACAACGTCAATGTTGAGCAGCAGTTAATCGCTGCTGTGAAAACGATGGGGTGGAAAGCTTCTTGCAAGACGGTGGGCAGCCACACAAGTACACCTGGGAGGTCATATAGGAAGTAACCTGCAAGGTTGCAACAACACATGCATTTTGGCTCAATGTGTCCATGAAAGCCCACCACTAGGCTTGAAGGGGACAAAGCAACCTTCAGAGGCACCATCCCTTCTCCTAATTTTCCATTGGAGTTTCCACAGCCTTCTTTGACACCATCGTCCCAGCAGTTACCCTCTGGACAAGGCATGCACTGTGTATTAACTACTGGTAACATCGCCTGCTGCTCTCTGTTCTGCAGTTTCATGCAGACACTGTCAAAGGGAATTATGAATTTCAGGGGACCATGTGTAAACAGAATGAACAGGCTGACGTACAAGCCAATCAATGGTATTGTCTCAAGCAGCCAATAGTCTTCTCTGCAGCAAGGGCCTTGTTCAATGCATTGCCTGCAACTTCCCCCATGCCAGCTGTGCACAAACCCTGGAAAAAAGATAAGATGTGGGCCGAAAAGTGCATGATATGGGCTGGTGGTGAGGTCATCGTCTTTCTGGAAAAGTGTTGGGGCAGCTCTTTGACCCTGGTGGATGGTTTTCTTGTGCAGGTGTTTGTAGTTCAGCTCTTGGAGCAACTATGGAAGAGGCAGCATAGGGTGCTGGTATTCAGCCAGTCGAGGAAGATGCTTGATATCCTTCAAGCTGCGCTGAAGGGCCGCAAATGGACTTTTGTGAGGATAGATGGAACCATCGCCTCAGCTGTTGAGCGCCAGGTGCCTTGAATTTGATGTTAGCAAAAGCATGTTTTGTCTGTTTTTTAAACCTGTAGCACGAGTGTTACACCCCTGCTGAAATTGGCACTGGATGTACATGTTGTGGAGTGTTCAATTGTTGACTTGTAGTCAGCCTGAACGGCTATCGAGTGCGACTGGCGCTGGTCAGCAACACAAGCGTCCTCAGGGTGACCTGTGACAGGGCCCAGAGCTGCATGTTTGTGTGCTGAATACCTGGGAACAGAACTTGCTGCAATGAGAAGCACCAGGCCGCTTGGTGTAGCATGGTGCATGTGCTGCGCTTTGTCCATTGTTGCAGACTGAAGAGCCATTATCAGCAACCTCAGTGGGTTGTGGGCCACTGCTCACCTTGTGCCTGAGTTGATGTCTAAGTGTTTATCTGTTCGTTTGTTTTGTGCAGAACATTGTGAACAGGTTCCAGAATGATGCCAGTGTCTTTGTCTGCCTTTTGACAACCAAAGTTGGTGGTTTGGGGCTGAACATGACTGCAGCAGATCGAGCCATTGTGTTGGACCCCTCATGGAATCCTTGCGTCGACGACCAAAGTGTCGATCGCATTTACAGAATCGGACAGGTGCACGATGTTGTGGCATATCGTCTCATGACTTGTGGGACAGTTGAGGAGAAGATTTACAGAAGGCAGGTCTTCAAAGGTGGTGTGTGGAGAACAGGATTAAAAGGGGTGAAGGAGGGTTTGCAGAAAGGCCACTTCACCCAACAGGTGATTGTGCCTAATTGGCTAGGGTGTGTGCCCAATTCACATTGAGAGAATGTTGTCCCCTCTTTTGCTGTTTTCTCAGATGGATATATTATCTGCCTTCAAATGTCGCTGTCAGTAGTGCCAGGGTGAATATATGCAATTGTTTCTCATCTAGAAGCTTTCCTGTTGGTTCGTTCGTACTGCATTGTTGCACACTCATGGAAATTTGTCCCCATCAAGGAGTTTGTTCACAATTAGCACAGCCAGAATTCTCTTATGTAGCAAGCATTGCCTATTCTGGGTCGGATGACTATTGCCAATGCCCCTTGTGGAGGCTGTGTCTGGCAATGCTACCAATGGCAGATTGCCAAAATGGCTTTTGTGTGCAGCTGCAGGATAGGAAAAGTCAGCTCTTTGTCCTGACCGAGGTCAATAGTTGCATGCTGCTTGCTTTAGTGCCGGTGGTCATAGTAGAAACTGGCCCACATATTAACTATCCAAAACTATCAAGCTGCCTGTACAATATTCACCACACACATCAAGGGCAGCCTGCCCCACCTTGCTGTGAACTGTTTATGACTTTATGCAGCACTCTGGCTAGGTGGAAATCGCTGCAATTCGCAAAGGATCCAATTTTGTCAACTCAACAACCTGTCTATTTGGAATGACAACCTCCGATTGATCTCCAACATTCAAGTGGCATTGTGATCACAGTGGCAGTAGAGTACCAGTGCACTCATGCGAGAGAATGCCTCTTCAATGCACTCGATCGCCCAGCGTCTCTGATGCTTTGCTGCTCTCATTCTGCTGTGTGCCTCTATAAGGAGTTAAGAGACATATTCAGCATTACTCCTGAAGGTTTTGAGCGCTCTGAGACCTGTGCTCAACTCAGACACCTTCAGCATCCACAAAGGAGCGAAGAATTGAGGCCACACATTGAAGAACTTGCATGCATGTCAGGGGTGAAGGGTGAGGAAACAGGCCAGGAATGTACAAGACCTGGGCTGGGAGTGTTGATTTTGTGCTTGCTCACCTCCAGTGGGGTAGAGGATTGCTGGGGAATTTACACTTGCAGTGAGAACAAACCATGTCTAGGTTTATAGGGAAATGCAGGATGACCTACCTTTTTCCTGGTGCAGGGATAACCCACCATGACTTGGTGTTCCTGAAGAAGGAGAACGCCAATCCCAAACCAAGTGAAAGAATTCAGCCCATCCAAAGCCTGGCAGGTGTGTGAATGTACAATTCGCTCTGTTAAAGCCTGATCTTGACAGCAATTGAAGCCACACGCAAATGGGTGATGGGGGTTGAGAACCTGAATTTAGCATGACCATGAGCGTCACAGACAAAACATCGACAGCCTCAGCAAACCGCCAATTACAGCCATTCATGCTGAGACCACAGGTGGCTTCCAGTTATGGGGTAGGGGGGTATACACAACTCCATGCAATTGCTTGTTTTGCCCACTTCTCAGTGTGAACATTGTGCTAGTGTGCCGGAATGTCATTTGTCAAATTCGCACTGTGCGCCCAAAGCTGCCACCGTGTCTGCACTGCGCAGTACATTTCTGTGGAGACCCAAGTGCATCATTTCTGTCCAGGAGGCTGATTGTGGTCCCCAGTTGCCACCAGCGTACTTGACGATACACAATGGAGCATTACTGTAGCTCGTAGTCGCACAAACATCCATTCTAACATTTTCAGCAGTGATTTCGGTACCTGTGGTGCTGCAAACATGGAGTGCAGATGGCTGCCAGTGTCTGGTAGTGTGGCAACATTCACTCCCAGTGTGATTATTGATGTAGCTGTGATTGCGACTGTTGCACACAGTGCAGCAGTATGCATGTTGCTATGTTCCCATGCATGTTGCTATGTTCCCATACCAAACTGGTGGCACTATGCTGCATTAGCATACAGTAGCATAGAGTGATGTGCATACGATTGTGTACATGACCTGAGCTGTTCCAGACCATGCACATGCGCAGCAGTCAGGCTCGTTTGTGCAACAGTGTCGCTTCAGGGGATGCTGCAAGCTGTCCACATACGCAAACAGCGTCTATTCAAATTTCCAGGTGCTAGGCCCACAGGAACAGGGAGAAGAAATTCTATTGTTGATACAGGTCAATGGCTTACAAAAGTGTATGTTCCACATCACAAAAGTGCTTGCCATTGCTGACCTGCCACAGTGGAATATACTTGCTTGGTGTTGCTTCATCTGTAAAGGGCTGCACAGATCCTGCAGATGCAAAGGCAAATTGTGGAACATTGATGCACTGCCTGATAGCAATCTGACAGCTGCCTGCTTTGACAGTGTCCCTTCTGCACCTGTCATGAATCTGAACTGGGTGGCTAAATCACGCTACTGACATGCTGTGGCACAATTTGCCATGACAATGCCCTGATGGTTGATGTCCTGCTGGGCGCAGTTGCCTGCTTGTTCTCGTTTCTGGCAGCTAGTGATTGCCACTTTATGCATTTATAAATACCTTGAGAGATGCCTTGCTGTGGCCTTTTGCTCCAGGAGACGTCAGTAATCTCACGAAGCAAATCCGTCGTTTAAGCGTCCAGCCAGATGCCGTGCAGCAGGAAACTAGGGCTCTGAAATCTACGCTGAAAGACAAGAACAGTCAGCTGGCAAGGATTGAAGGCATTATCAACGACTCCAGTCTTTGGGCTAGTCTTCCTGATCAGGGTGCAAAAGTATGTTTATCAAACAGTTGTGTTGATATGTCAGTGTATGGTGTGCAGGGTTCATTGTGTGCTGCACAGGCAATTCACGTGGTAGAATCTTATGCTTGTCGCTGTGAAACTTTTGTCTCTTGATCTCATTCTTTGTGGGCATGGCATCACTGGCTCATGTATTAAAGCCAGGACACAATGTATGAGGATTATTTGGTGCGAGTGGCCCAACTATGTGGTGCAAGTGGTCCAAAAATGTGGTACATGTGGCTCAATTATGTGGTGCAAGTGCTAGGTGGCATTCCAGGCCATGTCACCAGCGATCCTGCAACATAATTTCTGGACAATCAGATAGTTGCCTCATGCACAAGTGCAAGCTCCGTACCCATAATTTGGTTTGGCATTCCATTGAAGCAACTTGTGCTGCAATCAAATCAATGAGCAAGGGTGTGCAGATATGAATATTCGTAGAACTGTGTCTTTGAGCTTTGCTCAAACTGCAGAGGTTGACATGTGTTGTGAGCCTTGTGAAGTGTGGTGGCAGGGGGAGGGTGTGTGTGGGTGTGTGGGTGGGTGGGGGTGGGGGGCGGGCACACATAGAGCCTTCTGTTGCTGCAATGCCCTGCCTGTACTTGAGCAAACCTTTGCACGAAGTGGTGCTGTCTTCATGATACCTGCAGGCGTGCATCCATTTGTTCCAGGATGTTGATCCTTCCTTCAATTTGCAGATGCTGGAAAAGAAAGGCAGGCTGGAGGCCGAGGTGGCAGAGATCCATAATAGGCTTGCTGAACTTGGTGCCTGCACTGCAACTTGCTGTGAGCTAGATGAGTGACTGGAATCTCTACAAGCTACAATGCTGATGGATTGGGGATGGGTTTCTTTGTTGTCCATCCTCTGGCGCAGTTTTGGAAGGTCTGTCTTCTTGCAAAAGCACTGCAATGCCATAGCTTCATTCTTTTGTACCAGTAGATGAATATCACAATTTCAGATGCCCTACACCTATGCCCATTTGTGCCCCATCTGTACTGAATCTTACTTCCTCTGTCCAAGATTAATTGTCCTCTATTTAAAAGACAGAATTCGTTACAAGGACTGCCTCAAAATTAAAAACAAGTTTCAGAAACGGAAAAATAAGGTTGCAAAACACTTAACTACCAATTTTCAAGAATAGAAAATGAGGCATTACGAACCCTTTGAGTATTAGGGGAAAGGTAAATTTTGGTCATTTTTGACCCCAAATACCGAGGTTCACTAGGTAAAAGACCACTGGTACAAAGAATTGTCAAATTCTCAATACTTAGTTAGTTGACTTGAAATTTCGATAGTATGCTCCAAACTTACAAGCACAACTTTGGGCGAAATTTCATTGAAAACTGATGTAAGTACAATGGAGAAGTCGTGCCCCGTAATCATAGAGGACAATTATTCTTGGACGGAGGAAGCACTTTGCAACAGAGCCCAGCCCAAGAGGAGGCTGCTGCCCATTCGCCTATTCCACGGTTCACGCACCAGTAAGGATTGCATTTAAGCCCGTTCCAAATTTATTGATGTGAAGTACCAATGTACATGTATAATGCCAGGTGTGGCGAGACTTTCTCTTGATATTCGTGACTCTTGTTCCTAGCCGATGTCCCATTGGCATATAGCCAAGCTCTCACAAATGCCCTCCTCATTATCCTGCCAACTTGGGCGGCATGCTATGGAGCACGTTTCTTGATTGGCTTTCCAGCGGGCTTCCTGCATATTGTTTTTTTCCTTTCAGGTGTACCATATCCCAGGACCGTCGCTTTGTTGGATGGGAATGATACATTGATGTTTCTGCTTTAGTTTCGATTTTTATGTATAGACTGTTGCATAGAGTTGTGGCCTTAATATATGTAAAATTTGCAGCAGTGTCGTCATGCCGTTTTATGTGTTCTCTCTGTACAATGATCGTGGCCTTGACATGGCTAGACCTCTCTGGAAGGCAGCAGTGAAAGACTGACCTGCACTCCATCAAATGGGGTTGATTCAGCCCAATAGCAAGACTAGGAAATCGCAGGCTTGCTGCTCCATGCACGTCTCCCACAGGGTCCGAGTCCATCCATCGAAAGGGATGCTCGTTTGACCTCACGGGTCCTCTCCTCATGAGGTGAGGGGGCCTGGCTGGCTACAACGGCCGTAACCCAATGTGAATTATAGACAAGGGATGCCTACATTGCTGATCCACTGGTTTATATAGATATTCATGCCCGTTCTTAGGCACACATTTCCCAGAATATGCCACAGAATATTCCTTGCTGCCCCTGCCGTAATGTCTCTTGTCATGCACATCAAAATATTTCAGTGTTCAAAGTCTCATCTCCGTACTCCCATGGGCCGCCCAACTCTGATCAAAACTCCCACATAGCATCCAATCATGTCCTACACCTCATAGTGCATGTATTGCCTACCAAACATCACATGATCTTTTGTGGGAAGTTCAGGTGAACTCTAGTAACGTTGTGTGACCAACAATGACAACAAAAACACTGAATCCATGTTGCTCAAGGCACTACAACCATGAAAAATGTTATAGAAGAAGCGATACAATTATAGTTCGTATTTCTTCACTGACATTGACAATCAAAAGTCCATTCCACATAGTCATAGTTGTTCAACATATCATTGTTATAGAATTTAGTAAACCTGCTCTCAATCCAATCAAATTGTTAATGACTTTTGGACTTAAGGTCATTTAGTACTAATTATAGACACTGCATATTGCTGTTCGGAAACAACCTTTAGGGGAAGCTTTTGGGATTGTTTAGGGTCTCTTGTATTTTGTTACTTTAGTATTTTGGGCCTACCGCTTAATGATTGAATTTTATATTAATTTAGTCAATCTTTTGGACGTTCATTTGCACCGGTTGTTACATTGTCATTCTATTCTTCATGTAATTGCTGCAAAGGAACCCCCGTCTATGCGAATAACTCAGGGCATGCCCACCCAGGGTACGACATTTGGTTTCAGAGCCTAGGCATGTGGCGGCCCCTCTTTTCGGGCCCCACCGATTGATCCAAGACTGTGCCATAATCGTTGGGGATGGCGAGGTGCATTCCCATGCCAGGCTAGGTGGGAACCGTGCTGAATTGGCAGGCCTTTGGAGGCACACAACGGCACGATTAAGCAGCCACAACCATGTGACCTTTGCGCAGGCTGTTATGGGTGCCGGCGAGGATTTTGTACGCCGATTGGCATGTGAAATTCAACCGCGCGCGATCTATTGCCAAGCCACATGGACCTTGGACAGCCAGATCTTCCATGCCGCGGCTGGAGAAAGTGCCATAGAGAGGAGTGAAGCGGAGACGGAGCTGCTACAACGTTTGCTGTGGCGGTCGAAGCCGGACCGAAGTGAAACGAGGTGGAAGCCACACTTGCCAGCGGCAGCAGACGCTATGGTTCGCTGAGTGTGGTTTGGATCGGGGTGAGCCAGGGTGCGGCGCCTCGGAGGGGTGACTCAGCCGTATTGGACCAGGCAGAGCAGATTCGGGAGTGCCGGTGGTGCGCTATTGTGTAAAAGGTTTCTGTGATATTGTGGGGGGCACAGTGATAGGTGGCTCCGATGAGGGGCGCCACGTGACCCTTTCATTGTGACAGGGGGCGATCAGTATATGAATTTGGTGTTGGGGGTTCCCGTGCCTGGTTATGTGATGAATGAATGACATCGCTGACCAGTGGCCCGTAGCAACCTCAATACGTGTCATCGTCTGAAAGTCAGTGTTCAGCATTTTCACTCATGGTATTCTTGATGGGATTGTGGTCAACCCCCAAACTGCAAGGCATTGGCTTGGCAAGACTTGTTTCGATCGACACCACTCAGTTTCATCAAACCCTTTTAAGCCTTGTTCTCTTTCTCTTACATGCAAAGAAAATTGTGAGAGTCTCCGCGACACTCAGTGTGAATGTCTTTCAACCAACCTAAACTTTGATGAGGTTACAATAGTGACCACTCCAGCGCCATGTCTGCCACCCATATAGCATGCATCCCTCAGGAAGCCCTCACTGGGATTATTCAAAATTTATCGATTGTTCGGGGCGCCAATTAATGTAGAAAGATTGCATTACAGTAAGAGCCCCTTTAGCAACGTTCAGCTGGCACCCCGTGAGGGCCAGGACCGGTGACACGTAGCCCGGACTCCGCCCAGAATGACTAAGAACGCCAATGGCAACACCGTCACAGCATCTGGACAACGCCACAGGGGCCCAAGACGCTCTGGGGTTCTTTAGGACCTGTCAACGTAGCCACTGTAGGCACGAAGCAGGCGTGAAGCACCCACCAGCACGGCCAGTGATTTATAGAAACTTGCGCAACACCATGGAAGCACCAATGAGCCACTGTTTGCTGCAATGTACTAGAACTGCACCCGTCGACTCCTCACCGCCCGGGGTGACTCGGGAACCCATGCGCATGCGGCAAAACCATACCGAAAGGCTCAGAGGAACACACTGAGGAACTCCACATCAAGACATCGGAGCAATGCCCCGAGATCGCAGCAAACGGTTGAGGGCCATCCATGGGGCCGCGGGAGGCCCATCCCATCCAGCCGGTCAAATTATCAATCTTGGCGAGATGAACAAAAGTAGCCAGGGGAAAGCACGGGCAAGGGGGAGGCCTTGAGATCTGCCAGAACAGAATGCAAGCGGACGGCGAGGGAAAAGGAAGCCCCCCCCTTCCATGCGGTCGGACACGGGTTCCACGAATGCCCATGGCTCACGGAGCCGCACGGTCGATCCTCGCACCCCAACGAAAAAGTAACCCAACAGGATTACTGACAGGGAGGTTGACTCCCATCCTGCATAGGGAGTTTGGTCGCGGAGGCTCAGGGGAAGAAACGTGACCGTCCCGGAGGCCGACGGGGCATGGGGGGTGAGCGGAGATGCGGAGGCTGGGTCGGGGGCAAATGGTTGTATTGCCGCCAGCTGACTCAACCTGGCACCCGTGAGAGCGCCACGGTGGGTTGGAATCGGGTAGTATCACCCAGCATCGGGCACGTATCGCCCGTGGGAGCAATGCCATGTCAGCGTAGTTGACGACCAGCTGAAACTTCCAACAAGCCTGGACTTGGTTGTGCACCTATTTTCAAAACTCATTATAGCTTAGATGAGGTCATTACATTTTTTTGACTTTTTTATGTACTCAGTGGTTGATTTATGATGTGTTAGTACCTTTTTCAACTCATTCTGACCTCTTCTGAACTAGTTAGAGTTCTTATTCGGTGCCAAAGTTTGGGCTCCAGGGACCCAGCGGTTATGGAGATATCGAAAATTTCATCTCAAGAATCCAAATTTGAGTGGAAAGATGTGGGAAGAATGAGATGAAACTATGGGATATGATAATATAGCTAGTCTTCTATCCAATGAGCTAAAGAACAGGTTATTTAGATCAGTAATAAGAAAGATATGACATTCTTATGATTACGATAGCCTGGCTCATATGGGATTTATAATTCATATGTAGCGGGCTCGGATAGATTACCCGAAGCATCCAGTATGGCTGGTTCATCGTCCAGTGCAAACGAGGACCCCCGCTTGGCAAAGGTCAGGCACTGGCGGCAACTTTTGGGAATGCCCTGTGAAGAGGACGTACAGACGTTTGTAGCTGAACTAGAGGCGCACATGCAGGCACGTGTTGTGACCTTTGGAGTGCAAGTGTAGGTCACGCGAGGGACGGGGCAGTCCATCTTGACCCGCAGTGGAAGAGGACACGCGACCTTGTCCATATTCTATGGGAGGAATGGAGCGCAGTTGTTGACAGAGATAAGGATTGTTTGCAGTTGTTGTGAGCTTCGGACAGGTTGTGCAGCAGATTC